AAAAGTGCAGATAGAAAAGAAAAAAAGGAAAACATATATAAAGCAGTGACTTCCAATCTTCTTCATAGCAGTTACAAACTTATTCTCTCTCCTCCCTCTTTAACATTACATTACATGGTTCCCGTCTTCCCATATTCAACACTTTTTAATCAGCAAATCCATCAATCACAAATTCGTTTTTTCCATATTCAGCAAAAAGTCCATAAGAGGTTTCTTGGCTGCCGCATTTTGCATCAAATGAAGTTTCCACACATTCCTCAGAGGTAGCCCAGTGTTGACTACGTTGCAATAATCAAAACAAGATGTAACTATCAGTAGCTAGAATTTCTAGTAGTTAAGAGATGCCACATCATTTCAAGTTGAATTAAGATTCACACAGTTGACATCCGAAGGAAAACAAAGTTGGGCATGAAAAATGCCATGGAAAATGCCAGTCGGCCATTGAAAATGCCACAAAATAATGTCTCGAGTCTGCCTCTTTCATTAGTCTTTTCATGGAAAATATGAAATAGATTCAGACTTTGCTTTATATTTGTGGCATAGTAGTGACTCATACTGAACATCTGATCTCTTTATTGCCCACATGCCTTCTGTCAATGTCTAAAAGTCTGTTCAGGATTAAAACCATAAATATACACCTGCTGTTAAGCATGAGGTGGCAGCATGTTAGAATAGCTTCAAGTACGTCAGACTTTACTTTAAAAAATACTAATAATTGCCAAGAGAAATCCAGCACAGCAAACTAAAGACTGGAATATAACGTGCTTCTGTGATTTATCCTTTTTCTCCTTGCATAGGGGCAAGGCTGAAATGCTAGTGCCCATTCTACCATGTGATTTTGCTTCATGCTTTCAGTGCTTCCTGCCTTTCTTGCTTCCTCAGGGATAAGAAGGTCTGGACACACCTCCATCTCTGTACTCTTGGGGGTTGATATCAGTCTCATCTGCAGCAAGTTGCTACAGAAAAAGCTTGTGCTTGCTGGTTCATTGTTATATCAGGCAAATACACTCTCCTAATTAGTTGGGAGGGAAATAGAGATGACTACAAATTCTATTGCTTTTAAAGTCATTCTTATGCTACAGAGATCTTGGAATTCATGTACAGTGAGAGATTTAATGTCTGTATGTATATTCTGTTGTTGGCAGTAACAGAAGTTGGAAATATGCTAGTTGCCATAAATCTAAACAGTGTTTCTCAACCTTGACAATTTTAAGATGTGTGAACTCCCAGAATTCCCCAGCCAGCATGGGAGTTGAAGCCCACACATCTTAAAATTGTTAAAGTTGAGAAAAAGCCTTCATGTTTACCATATTTACTACTACACTTCTATTTCAAGCACCTGTATTGTTATTAAAGTTCCTTACTTAAGTGATGGCAAGTTCTTCCTGGATTTTAATACCACAGAAGCCCTTGAATTTCCCTTGGCCAAATGTGTTCCAATTCTGAATACATAATGATGTTTAGCTATTGTTACTGATACCTCACCTTTAGTTTTTGCCTATATAACTCACATCCCTCATGTCAAAGTGGGTAGGAACTGTGATAGTTTTACTTCGAAAAATCTGGAGGAATAATGAGAAAGGCAGGTTTAAAATATGGATCTAAACAAGATAGCTCAAACTATTTTACGAATCTCTGTATTTTCACCTTTAGATATATATGTATTTTCTGAAATACATATTTGATTTTCCCCATTCTTCAAGAAAGAATATATAGGATAATCCCATTTTTACCTTCACAATAAAATGAAATTGATATACTCAACCTAATCTCATCCATGAATGCCATGGCTAAATTGGGATTAAATCAACCTCCCATGAGAAAAAGTCCTATCAGTGTCCAGCAGGCCCAAGAACTATGGACCACATACATGGGGCACATCTGTGAAGTAATAGTTTATGAATGCATCATTTTTAGGTACAGCTCTGATTCAGTTTCAGTTCAAGATTTGAAAAGTGGATGATTTTATCTGAACATGTGATCTGAGAGATACCTATTTTGGTTCAAGGCAGTATGATCTTCAATTTGAAAAAAGATTTGTGAACGGTAAGAGATGCCCATTCATTTTTTGGCAGAATAGGACAACAATAATAGGAATGGTAGAAGATATTAACTCACCCAAGTTTCAATTAGATACCCTCAAGGCTTTTATCATTATAAAAGTTTGAAATATACCCCATACCTCTTTTAGAGCAGAGAAAGCAGGGATGAGGAAGGAATTCTCCCAGAGCCGCACCAGTTGCTAATATTAGGCCCCAAAACAGGGGCCAGGACTAATATTACACCCAAGTTTACTACTGGGAACAGAAGCCTGGCAACTAACATTAGACTTTTCTTTCATTTCTCTGGGAGAGAGATACAATTAAATCTGGACAGAGTAAATGTATAAAATAAATAAGAAAGGGGACAAAATGTGACTGATCTTTAATTACTATTGCTCAGCTTTCTTTTAATTAGTGACAAGCTAATGGTTATCTTGAATATACAAATTTAGAACAGGGTCTTGTCAAGAGAAAAGTTACTGGGTGCTTAAGAAATTAGGCAACAGAATACAGAAAATATTTTTGTCAGGGAAGAAAACTAGCTATGCATGCGTGTGCAAAGAGCCAGGAGCAGTTTCCCAAGCAGGTGCTTTGTACAAGTTCTTGTTCCAAAGCATCTCTACAAGATTCGCACCGCAATAATATAATCCACCTTTCCAGCAGCTGTAAATAACTTTATTATGAAAACTGACCACTTGGAAGGGGTTAGTATAACGAAGTATGGAGAACAAAATAGGGCCCAAGAACAAATATGCAAGCTAAGTGTGATTGAACGCTCTGAAATTGTTCATTTAAGGTCATACAGTTTGTCACATGCTAAAAGGTTACCCCAAATCAATGCATCTTGTAGCAGTTGAGCGGTGAATCCATTTTTTAAGATTACAGCTCAAAGCTATTGTTACAATAAAACTCTCTATGTATAGAATTTGGTGGGAAGGACATAAGCAAAAGTCTTTTCTCTCATTTCAAAAAAATAAGTCTCATCTCTTCATATATATCTGTCACATATCAGAAAAGTGTGCTATGAACCACAAACAATGTTTATATGTGCAATCATATAAAAATGTTAAAATCCTATGATTCCACGAACTCCACAATGTTCCAGTTCTCCAGACCATGCTTATCCAGCCATTGCCCAGCAGTTTTCCAGAAGTTAAACCCCTGAACCAGAAACAGGATGTAGTGTTTTGCATGGTATAAAACTGGCTTGTTTCATCTGGAACACCAAGGCCAGACAATACACATTCCTGCATGCAGCTACCATCATTCATTGTAGTCTCAACCCACAAATTTCTCATTTAAAAGGGTATATCCAATTAAACACAGCTCAGAAAAATCATGATTTGTAGAATTCTGACTGGCAAAACAAAGTATTTGTAAACATTCTACTGGCAATGGCTTTTGCTACTTATATCTCTCAAATTTTCAGAGTATATGTGAACAGTCATACAGTTAGAAATCCAACTTCTCAGATCATGTAAATGATAAGAACAGAAATATCTTTAATTTCATTACCTATTTGAAAAGAAATTACACGCTAAGGAATACAAACAGCAAATTAGTATTTCTCCAAATATTATCCACCCTACATATCAACCACAATTAATTTAGCACTGAAAGTAATGTATTGTGAAATAGAAAATCCAAGCCATTAATAATGAACTTCTGGTAACCTGACACATACAGAGCTCACAAGCATGCAAGAGCTTTTGAATCACTTAAACACCTTTACAAAGTTGTCTGAAAGAAAATGCCCACTAATATAATTCCAAAACAGGGTAATAACATTTCTATTGATTGCAGTGGGTACTGGATCCAGGCTCACATTTCAGTGCTTATACATTTACTAGCCTACAATTTTATAGAACTGAACATCTTGCGGCAAGGGATCTCAAGTGATAAACCCTTGAAAGTTTATTTTGCAACAACTGTAACAGTAAGTAGAGCTGGTTATTCGTAGTCCCTGGCAATCTAATTACCAAATCCTTGATTCCTTAAATGTTTTAGTTGGCAACAGTTACATTATCATATTACTACATTATGATCAGATCTTCATACAGTACTGTGACAACTGTCATGATACAGCTTTAAGGAGTAAGTGGCAACTCTGTGCCTGAAAGTACCCTGAGTATTTCAGAAAATTCGTCTTTTGTTAATAGTAGGAACCCAAACATCCCACACAAAAGGTAAATTCCAATTCCTATTTCATGGGTATATAACACATATATATACCACACACAAAAAAAAATTCCATCTGTCACAGACAGGCAGCCATAACTCAAATGTAAGCTTGCCCAATTTTGGTTGTGTCCTGCACACTCTTAAACATAAAAATATAATATAGCTGTCACTTTGGATGCTAGATCACTTCATCTGTATTTCATTGTTTTCTTTTTCCTTTTAAAGTTTTTCAAATGCAAAAATCAAGTATATACCTGGAGGAAAACAAACAAACAAACATGAATAGCCTGATCTCATTTCAAAAATTTTAGCACAATTATTTCTAATTCTCATTTCATTCCTTACATATACAAATCTGAAACTATGCATGTCCTATTCGTATCTACTAAAGTAAAACTATGATTATTATGGTTGGTCGCAGAGTCAGCCAGCTGTTTAGACTGGGTCTGGCATTTTTATCCACTTAGCGAGTCCTTCCCAAGGACTCAGGATAGGCAGATGTTGTTGTTTGATGTTAAAGATATCATTACAGGATGTAAGGTGTTCCAAGGAAAGCTTCCTTTTGCAAATGACTGATGGTGATTTCATCAATGCCAATGGTGTTCAAGTGGTACTCCGGATGTTTTGGGATTGCACCTAAGGCGCCTATAACTACTGGTACTATCTTTGTCTTCTTTTGCCACAGTCGTTCTATTTCTATTTGCAGATTATTATTATTATTATTATTATTATTATTATTATTATTATTATTATTATTAATCATAATATAGCCAGTGGACTAAAGTACTTCCAGTAATGTGTGGATACATGGAAAGCTTCTGTACTCGGTGGCATAGTTTTAAGAAAAGAGAGGGTTTTTTTTTAAATACCACATATCATTTGGCAAGGTAATTAAATTACATATCCAACTACATTTAACTATTGTAAATCCATGTGCTGTCTTAGTATAGCAGCATAGAATCTGCAGTGCCCTTTACCCAAGCCTTGGCTACAGCCCCAGGATTTCTGTAACAGTTGCTAGTGCATTTTAATTTATAATGACACAAATTACAAAACTTATTGCATATCTAGAAAGTAATTATTGATTTTTTAAATTTAAATTAAAATCAGTTTGTCTCAACCTTATACTTTTTTATTTTGCTATAACTACAGTATCTACACTGATGGGGATCACTTCTGTAAATCTATTAATGGTATGAATAATAATGTATATGATTGCACTTAACACATACGGTTCATGTCATGTAGGCTAAGGTAATGTCACAAAATATACAGATGCTAGGCTGATCACCCTCAGCAACTAAATGACTATATTACTAGCTCACAGCTTCCTGTTTTAAATTTCAAGAGGAAAGCATAACCAAGCATGTCTCATAGTTTTCAAAAATTTTAAAACCAATAATTGTATAATAATTCAGTTTTAATCATTTAACTTTTTAGAAAACATACTAATATAACTTTATTGAACTTTATTCCTCAGCTCTTCTCTTCTGCCAAACAACATCCAACACATCAGGGAAATTAATTACCTGAACTGAAATTTTAATGCCGATTTATATAAATAATTGATTCTGGAATACAGTTAGGGTTTTGAAAGGTAAAGACACCTTCCAGATACACTCAGCTCCTGGTCACTTCATGGATACATCCACAGTGTTTTCTTGGATATATCCACAGTGTTTTCTTGACAACAATATGAAGATGATTTTCATTTCCTTGTTCTTGGGTGGGTTTTTTTTTTACTTCAAAGTCTAACCTATAGTCCTCTGATACTCTGGTGATCTTTCATCCAAATTCTAATTAAGTCTGACCCAGTTAGCTTTTTTCAAGATCAGTACTCTCTCACAAGCTATCTTCAAATACACTCTCATGAATTTAATCTAAGTACCTATGCTGAATAAGGCTCTGATCAATTTGCACATATTACTATGAATAAGAAGTCTTTTTCTGCAAAAATTGCACTTTGTAGATTTATTTATGAAATATTCCTTCTAAAGAAATTCATCATAATAGCACAATAGCATGACAACTGCAGAAATGCTGCTAAGTGAACACATGTATATTTGATAGATATTTGAAGATAAGTGAACTATTCCAGGAATTTTCAAACACTGCTTGCAATACATACTTGTTGCTTCCCATTCAGATTTACTCAGAGTTCCCTAAAAGAAAAGAGAGAAATTAACAAGGATCAAGCAATTATCAACAAAGGCTGATCATTGATTAACTTTTTTTCCCTTTATTTAATGCTTCGCTTAACATTGCTAAAGCAATGATTTTTTTCTCTTAAGCTTTCCTGTATTTCAGAAAGCCAAACTATGTTCTCCAATAAGCATTTTTTTTTCTTAAGCATTTTCTTTGAACCAGGAAGATTTTCTAAGCATATTTAGAAGCTGATCAATGAATTAATACAAAAATCTCATAACTTTAAAACAGCCAAAAACCCTGTGCCAGGTTTCAATTTCAACCCATCTGAAGTTAAGCTCCCAGGAGAATCTATGAGCACCAGGAATGGAGGATACAAAGATTGTTTTCCATCGTGGGAGCAATGTTATTCAATTCCCTGCCCTTTGAAATCTGATCAATTGTTTTGTTAAGCTTCAAGAAATTATTAAAAACAGGTATTAATATTATTGGTCGCACAGTCAGCCAGTTGTTTAGACTGGATTTCCCATTTTTATCCACCTATCAAGTCCTTCCCAAGGACCTGGGATAGGCAGATGTTGTTATTTGATGGTGTTAAAGGTATTGTCATAGGATGTAAGCTGTTCCAAGTAAAGCTGCCTTTTGCAACTGATTGATGGTGATTTTGTCAATGCCGATGGGGTTCACATGGTGCTCCAGATGTTTTAGGATTGCACCCAAGGTGCCTATTACTATTGGTATTATCTTTGTTTCCTTTTGCCACAGTTGTTCTATTTGCAGGTCTTAGTATTGATGTAAGCTGTTCCAAGTAAAGCTGCCTTTTGCAACTGATTGATGGTGATTTTGTCAATGCCGATGGGGTTCACATGGTGCTCCAGATGTTTTAGGATTGCACCCAAGGTGCCTATTACTATTGGTATTATCTTTGTTTCCTTTTGCCACAGTTGTTCTATTTGCAGGTCTTAGTATTTTGTGATTTTTTCCAGTTCTTCCTCTTCTAATCTGCTGTCTCCAGGTATTGCGATGTCTGTTATCCAGACTTTTTTGCCTTTCTTATCAACAATTGTTAAGTCTGGGGTGTTATGCGGTAGGTGCTTGTCTGTTTGAATTCTAAAGTCCCAGAGCACTTTAGCTTTTTCATGTTCTATTACTTTGTTTTATGATCCCACCGTTTTTGCTTGCAGGCAAATGGTATTTCTTGCAGATATTCCAGTGCACCATGTTGCTACTTTGTCATGCTGTTGTTCGTAGTCGGTCTGTGCAATCTTCTTGCAGCAGCTGACTAGGTGGTCCACTGTTCCTTCAGCTTCTTTGCAAGGTGGCATTTGCTGTCTATTGCTGTCTTCTCAATCCTGGCTTTGTATGCATTTGTTCCTAAGGCTTGGTCTTGTGTAGCCAGAATTCACCCGTCTCTTTCTTCAGCTTTCCTGCTCCTAGCCATTGCCAGGTCTTGTTGTTATCTGCTTTGCCTGCTAGTTCTTTTGTGTACTGGCCATGCAATACTTTGCCTTGCCATGTCTCTTTTCTATTCTTCATTTGGTCTTTATATTCTTCCAATGCCCTTTTTTCTTCTTCATATGTCTGGTGTACTTGCAACATTCCACACCCACCAATGCTCCTTGGTAAGTTGAGCCTGTCAATGTTGCTGTGTCAATGAAGGGCATGATTCACTGTCATTATTCTGGACTTCCTATCCAGGGCTTCTAGTTCTGCTTGAGTCCAGTCCACTATTCCAGCTGTGTATCTAATGACTGGAATTGCCCAAGTGTTAATTGCCTTGATGGTATTTCTTCCACTGAGTTTGGACTTTAAAATCTTCTCTCATGATGTATTCACTACTAACTTTCTTCTTCTTGACTTCAATGTGCTTGATGTTGTCAGCTTGAAGGATGCCCAGGTAGTGATCTTCTTCATCCAGACTCTTGATATTATTTCCATTGGGCATCTTGATTCCTCCAGTTTTCGATATTTCTCCCCTGTTGATGGTAAGGGTAGCACGTTTGTCCAGTCCAAACTCCACTGCAATATCTTGGCTGTATATTCAGTGAGTGTTGAGCAGTGATTCCATTTCAGATGGTGTTTTTCCATACAGCTTCGGACTGTCCATGTAAAGAGGTAGGATAGCCTGATAGATGTTTTTGATGTTTGATAGCCATGATCTGACTTGTTCAATATTCTTGACAGAGGAATCAATGCAATGACAAACAGGAGTGGTGATAGTGGGTCTCCTTGAAAGATCCCTCTCTTGATATTAACCTCTCCCAGTCTATCACCATTGACCAGCAACTGTGTCTTCCACTGTGCCACTGATCTTTGCGCAAAGCTTCTGATGTTTCTACTGAGTCCTGTTATTTCTAGGCCCTTGATTATCCAATCGTGTGGCAGGGAGTCGAATGCCTTCTTGTAATCAATCCAAGCTACATTCAAGTTGGTCCTCCTTCTCTTGCAGTTTTCCAGAATCATCTTGTCAATTAGGAGCTGATCTTTTGTTCCTTTGCTATTTACACAGTTTCCTTTCTGCTCAGATGGAAAGAGCTTGTTTTCAACTAGATGCTGTTGGACTGCATCAGCTACCACACCAATTAGCAATTTGCTCAGATGGAAAGAGCTTGTTTTCAACTAGATGCTGTTGGACTGCATCAGCTACCACACCAATTAGCAATTTGAAAGTTGTTGGTAAACAGGTAAATGGTCTGTAGTTGCCTGGTGTTGCCCCTTTTGTTGGATCTTTCATTATCAGGTAGGTTTTACCAGATGTTAACCAATCTTCAATTTTACTTCCTTGCAGTATGTTGTTAAACTGCTTGGCAATGACTGGATGCAGACTAGTCAGATGTTTCAACCAAAAACTATGCAGTTCATTTTCACCTGATGCTGACCAATTCTTGATCTTCCTTGCCCTTTTCTCCACCATTTCTGCTGTTATTACAAGCTCCTTCACGTCAGCTTCTTTTTTATTCTTATCCACCTCCTTTATCCAAGCTGCATTCTTGTTGTATTTCT